TAATACTTTGGAGAAACTGGTCTATCTCTTTCTGACAGACTTAGGGAGCACAAAAATAGTGTTAGGCTTGCCGACACTAACAATGCTCTTTTCTGTCACGTCAGAGATCATAGCCATCCTATTGACTGGTCTTCTGCTAAAACTGTCTTCCCTACTTCCAACTCGAACAGTCGCCGTCTAGTTGAATCCTCTCTAATACACAACTTTCCTTGTATGAACCTTAGCCCTGGCTTCGTCTCTGTAGATGCCTTCCTCTCCCACTACATTGTAAAATGCTCCAAACTTCAGAACACCCGTGATTTAACCTGAATCCTCATTTTTTCTTTTTCTTTTTCTTCTTCCTCTTCCCCTTTCCTCTTTCCTTTTCTCCTCTGGGTTGTCTTTCTCTCTCCTGTCTCGTGTTTCTGTTCCTTCTTCACTTATTTCACCACTTCCCCTTTCACGCACCTCTGTGCGCTTGCTCTCCCTCTGTGGGCATCTAGCTCTCTTGCAGTGCTCCCCTTCCTTTGTATTTGACTGGCTCGTCATCCTTATTTCCCACTTCTACCACTACTACTACCTCTTCTTCTTCTACTACTACTACAACTACTGATGAAATTAAGACACATGTGCGGCGTCTGGTTGTCTTTGTTGTGGACGTTTCGCCATCCAGTGGCTGGCTGGATGGCGAAACGTCTACGATGGGGATGCCCGGGTGTTGTGCATGTGTCTTAATTTCATCTTGTCAGTATTATATACAATTCTTGTACTACTACTACTACTACCACCACCTCTTCCTGCCTATATATAGCCGTCCTGCTCCACCTCTGGTTAGTGTGACTTTGTCAATGGTCCAAGTCGGACCGAAACGTCGTCGTAAGCTTCTCTCTTTTATGTGCGGGTTATTTGTGTATAGTACATATATGGAAGAGGATAAGGTACCTAGGGATTGGCAGAGAGCATGCATAGTTCCTCTGTATAAAAGCAAAGGGACAAAAGACAATGTAAAAATTATAGGGGAATACGCCTGTTGAGTATTCCTGAAAAAGTGTGGTAGAGTTACCAGTGGAAGAATTAGGAGTAAGACGGAGAGCAGGATCGCAGATGAACAAGGAGGCTTTAGGAAGGGTACAGGGTAAAGAGGTTTTCGTGGTATTTATGGATCTGGAAAACACGTGTGATAAGGCAGAGAGGGTAGCCATGTGGCAGATGTTGCAAATGTATGGAACAGGGGGTGGGTTACTGAAAGAGTGAAGAGTTTTTACGAGGATTGTGAGGCTCAGGTTAACGTATGTAGAAGAGAGGGAGATTATCTCCTAGTGAAAGTAGATCTTAGAAAGGGATGTGTGATGTCACAATGGTTGTTCAACATATTTATGGATGGGGGTTGTAAGAGAAGTATATACTCGGGTGTTGGCAAGAGGTGTGGGAGTAAATGATGAAGAATCTAACACAAAGTGGGAGTTGTCGCAGATGCTTCTTGCTGATGACACTGTGCTTTTGGGAGATTCTGAGAAGTTGCAAAATTTGGTGGACAAGTCTGGTAGGGTATGTAAAAGGAGGAAATTAAAAGTGAACATAGGAAAGAGTAAGGTGATGATGATAACAAAAAATTTAGGTAATGACAAACTGGATATAAGATTGGAGGGAGAGAGTACGGAGGAAGTGAATGTATGTATTCAGATATCTGGGAGTGGACTTGTCAGCAGATGGATCTATGAAAGACTAGGCGAATCACAGAACTGACGAGGGGAAAAAGTGAGTGGTGCACTGAGGAGTCTGGAGACAAAGAACATTATCCATAGAAGCAAAGAGGGGAATGTATGAGAGTATAGTTATACCAATGCTCTTATATGGATGTGAAGCATGAGTTGTGAATGTTGCAACAAGAAGGCTGGAGGCAGCAGAGTTGTTGTGTCTGAGGATAACGTGTGATGTGAATAAAATGCAGAGACTCTGTAGTTTGGAAATTAGGAGGAGGTGCGGGGTTACTGAGGATGGGCTGTTGAGGTGGTTCAGACATTTAGAGGGCATAGAATAAAATAGAACAACTTGGAGAGCGTATAAATCTGTAGCGAAGGTAGGTGGGGTAGGGGTCGGCCTAGGAAAGTTTGGAGGGAGGGGGTAAAGGAGGTTTGTGTGCGAGGGGCTCGGACTTCTAGCAAGCATCCATGAGTGTGTTAGACAGGAGCAAGTGGAGACATATGGGTTTCATGACTTAAAGTGCTGTTGAGTGTGAGAAAGCTGACATTTATGAAGGGATTCTGGGAAACCGGCAAGCTGGACTTCAGTCCTGGAGGTGGAAAGTGCAGTGCCTGCACTCTAAAGGAGGGGTGTTGATAAGATGCAGTTTTATAACTGTAGTGTAGGCACACCTCTGGCAAGACAGTGATGGAGTGAATGATGAAGTGTTTTTTTTTTCTTTTTCAGGTCACCCTGCCTTGTTGGGAAACTGCCGACGAGTTATAAAAAAAAAAATCAGTGGAAACTAGTAAATTTATATGGTACCACAGCATATCCTTAACCCTTCTAGTATTCGAGCCGTAGTTCTACAGCTTTGAAGCCAGGGTCCATGCCACATTATTGCATGATGAGCTCAGCTCACTCAGATAAGCTGTGAGCAGTGAATTTGGGACTAAATATGACAGAATGGGTCGATGCAGTAAGTGTGCACCACATAAAATAAATTTTGCAGCACAGTGCATAAAGGAAAAAATAACTGCGACCGTGTTTTCTTTTTATTTAAAACAGCAATTTTGCGGTGTATTTTCGTATGGTTTTTATGGATGTATTCTCTGTTTCTTGGTCTCTTATGATAGAATGGAAAATATATTACAGAAATAAGAGATGATTTTGATGGTTTTGAAGACTCAAAATAGCTTGAAATTGAGCTCTAAGTAGCAGAAATGTTTGATTTTTGCCAATGTTCAAGAGTAAACAGATCACGTCATGCATCCAATACACATCAACTGGTGGGTCAAATGCATGTGTGTTCATGAATGTGCTGATATTATTTATACAATTATTACAATATTGCATGACAGTAAATCTTCTGTTTTTTTGTGCGAATAGAAATTATTTGTGCAAATAAAAAAATCAAAATGGAATTCATATGTAAAGCATGGGAAAGCACCTAATGAACTTTATTAGGTAGCTGAATTAGTTGACTGGGCAGCTTCTTGTGCTCAATCAATAAAATGGAAGGCATACTAGTGAAATAGCTAAAAATTTTATTAATTGGAACAATGTAATTGGCCTAAAACAGGAGTCAAAGTGGGCAAAATCGCCAATGCGTAAATATCACTGACACAGCAAAATTTGCAATAGCATAATTTCGTCAATTTTCCACCAAATTTTGTACTTTTTGTTTTATTACATTCAGAAAAATTTTCTTTACCATTTCATAAGAAAAAATAAAATCTGGGGGGAAAAATTCTTGGACACTGTGAATTAGGTCTCAGATCCAGGGTCTGGACCCTGGATCTGAGACTTATTCACTGTTGGAACTGGATAACCGACTGCCGGATTAGTGATGGCCGACTGTACCTTGTCCCTCATTTTTTATTCAGTCTTTGAGAGAAACCTTGTACAATATATAACTTAACACATGTGCATATGAACATAATATTGTTGGTATTGTCCACCACTTCATATACGTACTTTAGGGAAAACAATCAGCAATTTTTAAACCAATGATCCAGTGTAAAACAGTTTTGAGACCAATTTATTAAATTAAGATGAAAGTACCTTCTAAACAGCTATGCTACAGCTACTGCACTAAGGTGAGGCTGAGAGAACAATAATTCAAATTAAGGGGTTATCTTGTATGTTGTTTATCCCTTGACATTCTTCATCTCCAGCATATATTTTGTAGTGATTTAATAAAGTGTTTACTTTGCAGTTTACATAATTTCTGGGATTTCAAACAAATAACAATTGTCTAAAAGAGAATAAATTTTTTTGGTCATTAAAATTATTTTAAATTTAATTGAAGGGGACACATTTTTCTCAAAATTTATTTCATGCACAGGATAGACTGTATCTGGAAGAAACCTTTAGGGTAGGACTTCAACTTTTCTGCAATATGAATCTCACATTTGTGTTTGGAATTCTTTTATGTACAATTTTTGACCTGTTGATTTGAACCCAATCATCAGTAAAGTAACCCATGCTTCTTCTCATGTATATTACTATAAATACTACTTTTCTTAACTAAAAAATGATGCTTATAATCTCACCGGGTCACCTTATGGCCAAGACCTGGGCTAGGATTACGCCAGCGAATCAAACTAAAACTGGACATTTTAATCTCGTGTAACCATTTGAAATCATTTATCTGATCTCTCTTCTGCATAGGCAGTTCATACAGCTAATAAAATGCATTGTCTGAGTTGTAATGTTTCCTAGTATTAGCCAAGTCTCGATACACAGTGACCTGATAAGATTAAATTTCTAACTTTATAGGCATTATCATTACTATAGTTTTCCCAGGATATATTAATACTGACTTGTAACCCAAACAAGGCATGACATCAAGATTTCCTAGTGTAGTATAACCAAGGGATGCACAGTTTCAATCTAGAATTGCTAAGAAAGCAGTCATAGATGGCTTTTTTAGAAAGTCCATGGACTCTTGATTCTGCCACAGTGCTGCTTAAATAGGATTTATTCAAAATTTCCCTAAAATGTTTATAGATAAAAGGACTCCCTAATAACTAACCTTGTGGTTGGAATAAAATCCTGGAACAATGTAATACACAAATACTACAACCATGATGACATAGTACTCTACAATGTTCTTCAAATAATGTGAGAAAGATTGGTCAAACACACAAATGAGCCCATAATAAGGAGACAAAACATTTGAGTACACTATTGTGTATGGGGGATTAACACTGGGTCTGCTGAAGTGGATCCCAGTTTCAGGAAGAAATATACAGTACTCATCCTTACTGCCTCCAAGTGGATTAATTTGTGATATACAGTTAAATTAGAAGACAAACGATATGGGAGTTACTTACACAGGTGCGTAGTTGGTATGAGAGTCATTATAACCATCAGTCTCGTCACAAGACTCTCCGCCAGAAGACGTCTCAGTGGCATCTGAGTCATGATGAGTGTGGGCATGGGCAGCAGCATGCACTTCAGCAGCTACTGCAGCCACCTCAGATCGGGTGTGCTCAGGTAAAGTGGGTGCAGGGGTGGCTGGCTGACTGCAGGTGGGTCGGTGTGACGCTGCAGCTAGTCTGGCCAGGCCCTGTGATGCCTCCACACGACGCACTAAATTTACTAGTGCTGAGGTAGACATGGTACGCATGGCATCTGCTCGTAGAGCCTCTACGCCAACTTCTGGAGGTGTGGGCGGTGTGGCTCCATCTTCAGCAAGTGTGGTCTTCTCCCGCTGTTGAGCCAGGGTAGCATGTGCGTGCTCCAGTAACTCCCTGACCTGACCAGACACTGTGGCACCCAAACCACGAGCTGTCACTCGGCGGAGGCGGCGTTGTAGGCGTGCCTGACGCCTCTGTATTTGCCACTGGTGACGACCAAGTTCATCAACCAATAGCTGCACCCGCTCTTCCTTGGGCATCTGGTGTAGTACTTGCCCTTCTAGTGGCTGGTGGCTGGCATGTTGAGGAAGGGCAAGGGCAGCTGTGTCTACAGCTGCTAAGACCTCGGGGTTGTCTGCCAGGCGGGTCAGTGTGTCAATTACCTCATTCATGTTAGCAAATTCTTGCCCTATGAGAGCCAGAATATCACCATCTTGGGGCTGGGGTCTTGGTGACCTATGTGGTGCAGTGTTGTCTTGCACATCGTGCGATGGGACGGTGTCTTGACCCATGGTGGTTGCTTCGCACCAGTTAGGAGGGTTATCGTTGGCTTCTGCAAGGAGCGGTAGGCCCGGCGGGGGGTCCATGGTAGTATGGGCGGCGTGGGGGCGCGGGGGAGGGTCACAGCCCTCCCGCCCACACGCCAACCCACCCGCGCCTGGGGGCGAAGGCGGCAGGAGGCGGGGGATGCGGTGGGGGCCGTTAGCAAGGGCGGCAGCAAGGTGAGCGTCAGTACAGTCGTGGGGCTCCTTCAGTCCACCATACTGCAGAGGGAGGTGAGCGCTGGGCGGGGAGCTGCTACGGCCAGCACGGGTATCACCAGCACGCCCTGATGAGTGATGGTGGACAGCCACGTGGAACGTCTGCGGGTCGGACGCTTCAGTAAGGGCAGGGGCCATTACGGCCACCCACGCCCACGACACGCCCGCGCCGCGGTGCTACCTGCCGCCCATGGCACCGGCCGCAACACCTGCTACCCTCCAGTCACACTGCCTGCGACATGGCTAACAAGGATCAAGGCGGACAACCAAAACACTGCACTGCACTATACACTGCTTGGCTATCACCAGGCGACTGCGCCCACTAGCCAACACCTACACACTGAAAAGAAATAATAAATACAATAACTATCATTAAATGGAAAATGTAATTTGGAACAAGATAATGTACATCATATTTGTTAATGGTTGGGGATTGGGGATATCAACCCCCACAGCTGGGCTCAAACTAGCAACTGAAACTGAAAAGGACAAATGTAGAAGATTGCATTCGCATTATTAAAGCATAGTGTTAGTAACTGGGATAACTCAAATAAAGCTATGTCATCAGACTGGCATATTTCCACCAAGGTCTGTTAATCCTCTCCCCCAGGATGCGACCCACACCAGTCAGTGAACACCCAGGTAACTACTTACTGCTAGGTGAATGGGCAGCAGGTGTAAGGAAACTTGCTTCATGTTGTGAGAACATGTGGAGGCTGGTATTCAAAAAGGAGTATAGATTTAAGTTAGCTCTGAGCTTACCATGACCACATGTCCTCGCAACATGAAGCAAGTCTAGTTCACTACGCTCATGTTGTTTGTAGGATTGGTGATGTAATGGTTAGAGCAACGTGAACATTGTCTGGCTTCCCATGGGGTGGGACAAGGTGACAAGGATCAAGTCTTAGCCAGCCGTAGTTGTATACTATATACAGTGGACCCTCCCTTTTCGTCGATCTCCATTATTGCAGATTTCTGTTTTCGTCAATATTTTGGTTCTGTTTTCGTCGATGGTACGGAATCTGTCCAGTGCCCAGCACACAGACAAAGCTGCCTCCCACGTATCCTGCTGGGTCATATGAAACATTTCATAATAATCCATTGTTTTTGGCACTTGTTTATTGTGTGTGACTGCAAAGTAAGCCACCATGGCCCCAAATAAAGCCCTAGTACCAGTCCTTTGGTAAAGAAAGTGAGGAACACCGTAGAAATGAGAAAAAAAAAAATTGTTCAAAAATATGATAGTGGAATACACGTTGCTGAACTCGGCAGGATGTATGGGAGAGCGCCATCAACCATCAGCTCCATTGTGGCAAAGAGAAAAGTCGTCATGGAAACTGGTGTTGTGAAAGGGGTTAATGTGATAACCAAACAGAGCCTAAACAATTGAAGAAGTGGAGAAACTGTTGTTAGTGTGGATCAGAGAGAAAGAGTTAGCAGGAGATAGTGTTGTGCAGTCGATAATTTGTGAAAAGGCAAGGAAGTCACATGGTAATCTCAAAGAAACTGCCTGAAATGAGTGCTGATGTTGGTGAATTTAAGGCCAGCAAAGGCTGGTTCGAAAAATTCAAGAAATGAAGTGGCATACACAGTGTTGTAAGACATGGTGAGGGTGCCAGTTCTGACAAACTGAAAAATTCCAACCCCAACAAGTGTTCAACTGTGATGAAACAGGCCTGTTTTGGAAGAAAATGCCGAAGAGGACCTACATCACACAGGAGGAAAAGGCACTCTCAGGACACAAGCCGATGAAAGACAGGCTAATTCTCTAGTTGCGTGGTAATGCTAGTAGGGATTTCAAAGTGAAGCCTTTACTCGTGTATCACTCTGAAAATCCCAGTGTGTTCAAGAAAAACGTTGTCGTCAAGAGTAAATTGTGTGATGTGTAAAGTATGGGTCACAAGGGAAATTTTCCTTGAATGGTTCAATGAAGTGTTTGGCCCGAGTGTGAAGAAATACCTCCTGGATAATAAATTGCCACTCCAGTGCCTCCTGTTAATGGACAATGCTCCTGCTCATCCTCCAGACTTGGAAGACCAACTGTCCAAGGAATTCAGTTTTGTAACAGTGAAGTTCTTGCCTCCTAATGCCACTCCTCTCATCCAGCCCATGGACCAGCAGATCATTGCAAACTTCAAAAAACTGTACACCAAAGCAATGTTTCAAAGGTGCTTTGACATAACCTCAGACTCTGAACTGACCCTAAGAGAGTTCTGGAAGAATCACTTCAATATCTTCCACTCCATAAGCCTTATAGATAAGGCTTGGCAGGGAGTGACTTCCAGGAGGATGAACTCTGCTTAGGGAAAACTGTGGCTAGATTATGTCCAAAAGAAGAATTTTGAAGGGCTTGAGGCTGACCCTGTCAACCCTACACCCTTTGTGCAATCAACTGTGGCATTGGGGAATTCCATGGGGTTGAATGTAAGTGGCGAGGATGTGGAAGAGTTGGTGGAGGACCAAAATCAAGAGCTAACCACTGATAAGCTGCAAGAGCTTCATCTGCAACAGCAACAGACCACACTCAGGAAATTTCTTCAGAAGAGGAGGAAGAGAGATGGGAGGAGGAAGAGAGATGGAAGAAGGTGCCCTCTTCAAAGATTAAGGAGATTTGTGCAATGTGGACTAAAATGCATTCATTTGTGGAGGAACATCACCCTGAAAAAGCTGTTGCAATCCGTGCTGGCAACTTTTACAATGACAATGCCATGTCCCATTTTAGGCAAATCTTAGACACACCAGAAACAGACCTATCTGGACAGATATTTTGTGCTACAGGGGTCCAGTGACTCTCAAGCTGGTCCTAGTGACAGTAAAAAACAAAGGAGGGAAGTGACCCCAGATAAGGACTTGGTACCTGCAGTCCTTATGGAGGGGGATTCCCCTTCGAAAGAATAACCTTTTCCCTCTCCCTTCCTTCCTACTTTCCATCCATTATTAACATCCATCAATAAAGGTAAGTGTCATGTTGAATGTTCATTCTTTTGTGCATGTAAATCTAGAATTAAGGTAAAAAAAAAAAATTGTTAATACTTCTGGGTGCCTGGAACAGATTAATTGGATTTACATTATTTATGGGGAAAATGGTGCCCATTTTCACTGATCGCTCTGGAACGGATTAAATATGAAAACTGAGAGTCCACTGTATATACATATTTAATTTATTCAACACGCTGGCTGTCTCCCACATGGGCAGGGTGACCCAAAAGCAAAAAATACTTTCACCATCATTCACACACAGAGGTGTGCAGGTACAACAGTTTAGAAGTCACTCCAAACAGCAAATATCCCAAACCCCTCCTTTAACCCTCTGACTGTCGCGGCCGTATATATACGTTTACGAGGTACCGTGTTTGATGTATATATACTCACAAATTCTAGCGGCTTCAAATCAGGCAGGAGAAAGCTGGTAGGCCCACATTTGAGAGAATGGGTCTGTGTGGTCAGTGTGCACCATATAAAAAAAATCCTGGAGCACACAGTGCATAATGAGAAAAAAAAAACTCCGACCGTTTTTTTTAATTAAAATGCCGACTTTGTGGTCTATTTTCGTATAGTATTTGTGATTGTATTCTCGTTTTCTTGGTCTCATTTGATAGATTGGAAACTATATTATAGAAATAGAGGTGATTTTGATTAATTTTACTATAAAAAGAACCTGGAAATGGAGCACAAAGTAAGGGAAATGTTTGATTTTTGCCGATGTTCAAAAGTAAACAAATGATGTCATTGTCCAATAAATGTCCAACTAGCCATTCTAATATGCAGTCATGAATGGGTTGATGTAATTTTTACAATTATTACAGTATTGCAGTAGTCTGCATAACAGTAAATCTTCTATTTTTTGTTTGAATAAAATTCCAAAATAAAAAGCAAGAGTAATATCACAAGGGCCTGGAGACATGACTGATGAACGAAGAAAATGTTATTTTAGAGCCAGGAATGTCTGCATTGTTCATTCTGGTCCTTATTTTGAAATTGCCATATTTTTTAATTTTCGTGAAATTGGGCAAATTGCAAATTTTTGACCATGTTACTGGGTAGTTGAAATCAGTAAATAGGCAGTTTCTTGTACTCAATCGATGGAAAAAATGGAGTTCTGAAGAAATAGCTATGAGTTTGGTTGACTGGAATAATGGAATTAGCCGAAAATAGGGCTCGAAGTGGGCGAAATCGCCGATTTGTAAATATCGCTGAGGTCGCTAACTTCGCGAGAGCGTAATTCCGTCAGTTTTCCATCAAATTTCGTTTTTTTGGTGTCTTTACAATCGGGAAAAGATTCTCTATCATTTCATAAGAAAAAATAATTTTTTTTTTTAAATTTTGCAACACCAGGAGACACCTCAGGACTGGGGGTTGCGACAGTCAAAGGGTTAAAAGTGCAGGCATTGTACTTCCGACCTATAGAACTCAAGTCTGGCTAACTGGTTTCCCCGAAGCTCTTCACAAAATATTACCCTGCCCACACTCCAACAGCTCATCATGTCCCATAAAGCATTCATCTGCACTCACTCCTATCTAACATGCACACACATGCCAACTCTATGTCCAAGCCTCTTATACACAAAACTTCCTTTACCCACTCCATCCACCCTTTTGTAGGATGACCCCTACCCCTCCTTCCCTCCACTACAGATTTATACAACCTCCAAGTCATCCTATATTGCTCCATCCTCTCTAAATGACCAAAACAACCTCAACAACCCCTCCTCAGCCCTCTGAATAATACTTTTAGTACATAACTCCACATCTCCTGGTTTCTATACTATGAATACTCTGCATGACATTTACACCACACATTTATTTATTTATTTATTTATGTCTTTGCAAACAGTACATTGAGATTGTGTATATACAATAGTGGGACGCAATGCAAAGAGAGCCTCTATTATGCCTTGGCATTATGGGCCAACTTAACATTATTGGCTTACATTCTACTTAATACTAAGAAGTAGTATATCATAGTTGTACAGTAGGAAAGTAATTATTTCATAGTTGTACAGTAGAATATTAATTATAACTGAAACAAAATTTGTATAATACAAAGATATACGTATTTATATTCTAAAATGCTTTTATGAAAAACAATGATTCAATTATATTCCTGTCAACAATGGATAAGAGGTTCAATGTGATTGTTTCAGTTATGATGTGGGAGTACATAGGTGAGTAAATGTATACTGAGTATTTAGCATTTAGTCTAGGGTGATTAAGTGGCTTTTGAGAAGAGTCTTAAATTGATTTTCAGACTGGGTTACTTTAACATCTTCTGGTAATGAATTCCATATTTTGGGGCCCTTTATGTGCATAGAGTTTTTACACAGTGATATGGACACGAGGTATATCAAAAAGAG